AAGTATATTAGAAGACTCGAGTACTCTAAGTAAGCTTTGTAGAAAAGACAGATTCAAGCCCCCATGCCTACTATCAACTGACATTAACGATATATCGTGAGTGATCAAACTCTTGCAGAGGTACTGTCACATTGATAATAAGACATGAGACCCACCACACCAAAGGGAAGGGCCCCACATACAGAAATCTGCGACATAGCTTGAGATATTATTTTCTCATTTAAGGTAACCAGACTTCTAGAAGAGGAGGATAACCAAAGCACTCTAGGTGCACCAACCCTTATACATCCCAGCTTAGCCATTTCCACTTACCAAAATAATAAAAACCCCAAGATATTTATCTTCACTATTTAATGTTTAAGTAGAAATCTTCCAAGGCTTTTTTTATTTAATAAATAAAAATATAAGTTTAAGAAAGTTATACTATAATAAATATTAAAAGAAAATGATGAGTATTGAAGAAGTGATAAATGTTTAAAAGAAAAGATAAGATTAAAATTAAAGGGAAAAAATTTTCGAAAACTAAAAAAGTCTAATGAGAAAAAAAGCGACTTTATAGATAATTAGTATATTAGTATGATGTAAGATTGTTTACGCGCTATATCCATTACACGAATTACGCGTATGTTGATCACGTTGGTTAATATTAATTAACTTACTCAAAGTTGAATTAAATTAGAATAGAGTAAATATACATTTTTAATTTTTTTTTTAATAACACAAGGAAAAAACAAGTCCACAGACGAAGGATCTCGGTAATAACCTCCATATAAAAACTGAAAAAATGACGAATGATGTTGCAAGGGTTTATTTTCTTTCCAAATAACAAAAGTAATAATAATAATAACAATCTTTCTTTGTTTGACCTTGAATAAAAAACAAATAACCAATAAAAATGTCAAGAGCAATTTCTATCTCATCTCAATTTCGAAGAATTCGATACTTTTTCGTAGACATCCAAGGAAATCCAGCGGGTACTGTTTGTACATGTTCATCAATTGGAGAGATTATACAATCGGCGGAAATAAATGGGTTAATCCATTTACACCCCGGGTTGATCGATTCATAGTTTTAATTTAGTATGAACATTGAATTAGACAAATTATATTTGATACTTTTGCTTGAATTAGATAGGAACGGATCATTAAATGTTTTAAAAAAGGAAGAAATACGAAATCCAGGGGTCTGGTATTTTCTTATAAAAAGAAGTAGTAACTCTGAAGTTAAAATTATTAATAAACACATTTAATAATTAATATTCACAAAAGAAATAATTCAACCCAGCAGATATTTTTCAAACTATCTTCTTCACAAAGTAATCATGAACCGAAATTTGATGTTTGCATTCCTTTTATTGGCTGCACTTGCCATGGTCAATGCCGTTCCATATCAACTCCTTAAAAGAGATAGAGACATAGGTTATCCATGTCCAACAAATCCTGAAGGCTCTTACATCTATGCAAACCTTAATCCTTTCCCTCCTGTGTCTAATCAACCCATTAATTATACAATTGAAGGAGGAATGTTAGGTTATGAAATCACTCCTTATAAAACCGCAATTACAATTGCGTATACTGATGAGCACAGTGAGGTTTATACTAAGGGTTTGGATTTTTATTATGCGAAAGGAGCTCCATTTTCAATTGATGTACCAGATGTTCCGACACCACAACTTCCTAGTACATACGCGATTATGGTAATAATTGCAGATAAAACCGATGATCCAAATAAAGCAGTACTCCATGCCTGTTCATATGCTACTTTTGGTTTATGATTTTGCTGGTACTATAGAATAACGCGGCCTCCCTATAAAAAAAATTCATGCAGTTTTGTGTTGATAATATAAACTTTTATTTTGTATGTTTTCATAGTGCAGTTAGTTATATTATACTTTGGATGTATAGTTATGAAATTACGCTGGACGTTATTTCCGTATTGGAAATCAAAAACAACAAGCATTAACAGTCATTGAATAATATATTTTTCTCATTTACATTATGTAAGCGATCTATTCGCAATTTTATATTTTTTGTAATAGTTCGTAAATAATAAAGTACAGTGAAATTTATAAATTCATTACAAAACAATTTTGTATAAGTTGTTTTTATCTTAAAAAATTCCATTTTAGCATTAAAAAAAATTACATCCTCTAGAAATAAAAATATCTCAATAATTAATATGAAAAAAAAAAAATTCTCCAGAAAAATTAATTATAACGATTTATTATTACAAAAGATAAATAAATGGGGAAATAAATAAGTAATTATGTTAGTCTATTATTGGGCTTGATACAAAAAAATAATAATAATATTAATAATAAGAATCGGGAAAAAGGCAATTCCGATCCCAACCTAAATGGTGAAGAATGTATTCGGGAAAAGAAGGGATTCGTACAAAATCCAAATGGGTCAAAATCCCGAATGGTACGAAATCCCGACAAATGGACTGCTTATGCAGAATTATGTGATGTATTTGACCAGCATTAGAGTTCAGGATTTCGTACCAGGCCCTTGTAAAAGATCGATCCAAGAAAAAAAAAATGAAAATTAAAAAAAAGGGGAATTCGACTAAAATTTCAGTAACCGGAATTGGATTAGATGTACAACATGACTTGCCGATCAAGCGAGTCTTAACTATAAAGAATACGGATCAGCCATTCAAAATTAATTTATACAGGCTAATCTAAACGTTGGTCACACAAACACCATTTTTTTTGATTATATAGAAGATATATACGGAATACGGATACTTTTCATCAGCGGGTTGTCATAGTACTGAAAATAACATATTTTCACTTAATAATAACCGAATGAAAATCTCGCCTTTTTTGTGATCTCTCTATCAAGGTTGTTATGACTAGCCCTATTCCGCACGTTATCTAACTGTTTCCTTTATAGATAAGTTTATCAATTTGTACGCATAAATTTTTACCGAACATTCTTTAAGATTAAATCTTTTTTATTCAAGTATTTATAATATCACTTAAAAAATTTTTACCCATAAGACTATGATTATTGTACAAGTATTAGACGTATTAGACATCAATATTGTACAACTCTTGAAATGTAACATTGTCAATTAGCTAAATTTTGGCATTATTTCTTCATAAATTTGTGTCCCTTTTTTTTTATCTCATAAAAATATCAGCTAGAAATGATTAATATTAATTCATTTTATAGGTGGTTGGTAGGATAACTTAATTATAAATTACTAATGTACCAATCATCATTTGTCTATTATTTAATTGCTAATAATTGAAACCCCATTTTAAACTTAAAAATCTAAAAATAAATACTTTGTATTATATTCAGAATATGTAATTTAGGGCGATGCAAATTTGATTTTTGCGAAGTTGTTTAGCTTGAAAAATCAAAAAAATTGGAAAATTTCAAAAAAAAAAAAAAAAAAATGAAATTTGCGTACTAATTTTTGCTGTTTTTAACGCTATTAAAACATAAATAAAAACTTTTCTACTTAATTTTTTTAAAGAATATAGTGGCAGATATTCAAAAGTATATATATACTGTATATATATATAATTTAAGGAAAAACATTATAAAGTGGCAAAAAAAATTTTTAAACTTTATAATCAATTAAGACCGCAAGTAATTTCAAGTGGATCACTGGTTTGGTGATCCGGATCCCGTAAGGCATAACCTTTTAACTTGACATGGTCCAAATTTACAAAATGATAAATTGATGCATAAATTCATGTCAAGTTTTTATAATGCTAGCAAATGTTTCATTATATAAATCGTAGATATTTCTCCGGTAATTAACTATATAACCCCATATTTCACTCTGCAATCTTAAATTTTTATTCATTGTTCATAAACGGCAACAATAAAACAGAATAAACGATGAAAAAAAAGTTAAATTATAGATCAGATTAGTGTATCACATGATCCATTTGTGCGCGATAGGCCGCGCGCTTTAATACTATTGACGTATATTTAATCTGAACGGCCTTATAAATTGATTCAAGATAGGCCTTTATTTTAAAATGTTTATAAAATGATAACTTTATATATATTATATATCATCACAGTTTTTATTTTATCACTTTAATCGCCATTTGGTGAAAAATTTAATAAAATATCGAAAATTTCAGATAATTTATTTCTTCAAAAAAAATTTATAAACTAATATTATATGACAATATTTCTGATAATCAATACTTTATGGATAATCCATTATTAATAAGTTTTAATTTTAGTTGTTTACAAATATCATTACATCTATGATTTGCCAAGAACAACTGATTGATTCCCTTTTTGCCAAAATTAGTTCTTCCAAATCTTAAAGAATCAATACAATGTATTGCTGGATCAGTTAATAAGAACTCATTAGTAAGTTCAATTCCTTGAAGATCACAAACCACTAAGTATCCTTTGGTGTATTCATATGTGAAATGGACAAAAGCTTCAAGAATAGGCCGAAGTTCTGTAATTACACCAGTATTTGCATTAAATCGTTTATATTCCATATTATGAAGTTTTGGTTCAATAGTATAATATCGAGTATTAAAGTTAATAGTTCCACAACGTAAAAGTTTTACATTGAGAAATTTTACTCTAGGAAGATCTTTTCGTTCTGCAATCAAATTAAATTCTGTAGAGAGAAAAGATGCAATTGTAGAGATTTCTATCGCTACAATATACTTTTTGAAAGAATCATTACGCACAACACGATGGTATTCTTTTATCACCATTTTCTTTGTTGAACAACTTCCGATATCAAGAGCAAAGTAAGCATATCTTTCAACACCTGCAGAAAATGGTTGTGAAGCAATCTTAAAGGAGAAACTTCTAGAAAAGAGATTCGATTTGTTGAAATAATTTGGGTCTTTAAGTTTGTTCAAAGTATCAAGAATAGGATACCACATAACTATTCCTTCTTGCAACGGAAGAATAATCCAATCAGGCTCATTTGGATTCATATCAAGTTTTTTTCGTTGCAAAGAATACATATCCTTGGTGTCGCTTCCAATAGTACTGGTCATTGAAACAGCATAAGTAATAGATGTTGAGGTAGCTTTAATAAAATTTTCAATTAATTTAATTGGATCTCCTCCTATAAGATCAAATACTGGAAATTCACCAATTATACCACGGAATATTTCAAGCATTTTATCAGTTTCATCTGTAATTTTTCCAAAAAAGTAAAGGATATTTTTTGATTGCATCTTTTTTAGGACATTTTTTGCGGTTAGGCCATATGGATCACCTTTTGGACAACTATCTGCCAAATCTGTAAAATTTTTACCATGTGGTGGAGAATCACCAATATGAAGAAGAACACGAGTACCATTTTTCCAATTCATTTTGGCTATTGCTTCATTAAGACCTCCGAGAACATCTTCTGGAATATCGTCACCACCGAAAGGTAATACACTTTGCAAATATGTTGTAAATTGCTCATATTGATCGGTAAAATCTAAAGATTGTAGACGATCATGTCCATCACTATGATCTCGATAACCACAAAAGCCGACCCGAAGTTCAATGCTTGGGTTTGTATGTTTAATGTAGTTTGTCACCTGTAAGATACAATCTCTAGCAGCAGCAATATAAGGCTCCATAGAATCAGTGCAGTCTAAAACAAAGCAAAGATCAACTTTCATTGAAAGTTTGATATTATTGAGCGTTTTGGATATAGCCTTTTCTCGCAAAAATGTATTAACTTTAGTCTTTAATTCATTTTCTGTATTAGAAGTTAATGTTATATCAGAAGACAGTGTATCCGTCTCATAAGCATAACGTTTCAAACGTTCTTCAGTGAGATTTGATTTTTCTAAATCAGATGCGAATGAAGAGGGGATAGCTTTAACCTTTATGTTTATTGGCTTTTCTTCAAAAGAAAAAGTATTTATCTCATCAGCACATAATTTCAGACGTTCTTCAGTGAGGTTTAGTTTCTCGGTATCATTAGAACGTGAAGGGGTAATGGAAGTAGTAGTTATAGTATCATCACTTTTGGCTTTCGCCCGTTTTTTTGACTTTTTTTTCAGACAGAACCACTTTGACATAATTTCTTATATGTTAAATAAAAAATAAAAATTATTTTTTTAAAAAAAAAATTCTCAGGATTTGAAAATAATTTCCAAATTAGTTAGTTAAAATGAATTTCCAAATTTATTTAAATTAGTTTCCAAATCAATGCAGATAAAAAAGATTGGCGCATGTGCAATGAGGTTATATCGGTCACAGGAGCAAATATACCCACTGCATGCACGTTGTCGATCACATATATTTTACAATACACAATGAATAGGATCGACAACGTGCATGCAGGTGGTCAAGTTTTACGTACGTGACGGGTCAAGACTCAAGATTCATATATTTGCGTCACAGGGACCTTCATTGATTGGTGAAAATGGCCCATTTTCATCCGGTGTTTCCAAAACATGTATTGTATACTTGGCGTTGTATGTATTGTATATTGATTTTTTCTGTTTGTATGAAATACCGAATGTATGGGTATATAACAAACATGTAGTGCATAATTAAAATATAGTATATTATAATTTTCAACGTATGTAATGTATGGTTCAGTAATTCAGTGTAAAGTTAGTTGTGTCTGTATTGTATAACAAGTGTAGCAATTTCATGTATTGTTTAATAAATATGGTAACTCACACTGTCACACACACAATTACTGTTACTAAATTTAATTTTTTTTTTTTTTTGTAAAAATAATAAAGCATTATGTGAATTATCTATATCATTTGATTTATTACATAATTTGTATTTTGCTTTTCTTTTCTATTTTATTTCTTCTAATATTTACAACGCGATTATTACTATGTCCAAAATAAATCCAATTATTCTCTCAGATATCAAGACTATATCTGATGATGAAACTATATCTGAAGATGAATATTCTGAAAAAGATGAACAGGTTTACTTTTTGTCCTTTTTTTGTTTTATTAATTTGATATTATTAAGGTTTAATATAATTATTTGAATAACTTTTAATTTTTATTTAGAATATTAATGAAGATGAGGAACCAATAGCATTTTTTACAAAATATCTCTCAGTTCCAGAAGTTATACATTCAGCTCTTCCAATTGAATATCCAAAAACTTCACCACAAGGAGTGGCCACAATATTTAATATTACTGGCTGGGCAAATTCAATGGCCTGTTTTAATGATGTAAGTATTTTTCATCATTAAAATTATTTTTACTTTGTTACTTTATTTAATTTATTATCATATTAGATTCAGTATTCTAATAATGGAACAGGTGGATCAACCACAATACAAAATTGTCCTTATTTTGGAGTGTCAGTAAAAAAGGATGTGTGAAAATGCCAAGGGATCAAACATTGTTCTTTTTCCGATCCAAATTTTATTAATGAGCAGCATAATGAAGTTGATATGGAATCAGAAACATTTATTAAATTAAATCAACATAAATATAATAATAATAAAAAAGTTAAAACTTATATGTAAGTTTATTGATATTTGCTTTATGTTAATTTTTTTATTTGTTAATATTAATCAGTTTATATATATTTAAATTAGTTTTTATCTTGCTGCCAAATCAACGACCTGTAAATATAAAGTTAATAATCAATTTTGCAATGACCAAGCAAAATTAAGAAAAATTATTATAAATGGAGGTGAAGAGTTTTTTATTGGATGTGACAAATGGATTAGAGGAGAAAAATGGCATCGATACATTAAAGTCCAAGAAGAAATTGATTTGGAATTATTGCGAGATCTTTTTCAAGGACGAGATGTAAGTATTACTCTATAATTATTTATTTAATTTACATATTACTAATAATTGTATAATTCAGATTGATGTAAATAATAAGGAAAACCAATGCTGTACCTTGGTTCCACGAGCCTCAAGAATAAAATCATGTGGTTAGTAAATTAATTAAAATTCAATATACATAATAAATATAATTATAATGACTTTTATTTTTGTTAAGAATTCCACATGTTAAAGATAATCAAGTCATACAAGGAACTATAATTGAGTGAACATGCAATGTGCAGTTTATTGAATTCATTCCATATGATTTAGCTGCATGTCCTTATATTGCATTAGTATGCATAGGTACACATAACCACCCAGAATGCACACCAGTAGGCATTAGGGATGAATTACAAACAATGATTCAAAATATTATTACTTAAGATGATAGTGTAACTCCACGCTCAATTATAGCAAGTAGGTTTTTTTTAAAAAATTAATAATACAATTAAATACTAAAATACTAACAATTTTATACTATATTTTATTTAAATAGAAAATAATAGCATTAAGGCAATCTTTGATAAAGATACTTTATCAGAGGTGCTAAATGTTATAAAAATATGCATCCCTATGTACAGGGAAATTTGGGCGTTATGCATAGTGTTCAGTGCAAGAAATTTGATATGCATAACTATGTATTTTGTATAGGTAAGCATTACTGTATATTTAATTTTTTTACTTTTACATGTATTACATTTTACTGAGATTTGTTATATAAAATTATAATTTATTATTATCTTTTTTAATAGAGCAATTTGGGGATGGATTAACTTTGATTTTATGTATGCTTGATTTTCAAGCAAAATCATTGCAAAATTTAAAGTGCTTCCAAATTGACTTAACATTTAAAAGAGTACAAGGGGATATTAATAAATTCGAAGTTAACTCTTATGATGTAATGCATAAACTAAGTAAATATATTAATTAAATTATATATGCTTATATCATTATATTTTTATAAAAATAATTAATATTGTCATATTTATACTAACATATTTACAGCTAACGCATATCAATGTTTATTTACTCAGCTTTTTGAAGTAATTGAAAATTTAAGTGAAAAGCCTGTAAAATTTTATCATATTATGGAACAGGTTGGGAATGCATACTTGGAGATCTTGATCCTGGGCAAGCAAAGAGATTGGGATTGGTTTTAGAAAAACGAGATCCTAGTAGAAATTGGGAAGAGCATTTGACATATATTTTTAAATCATGTCTTGTCCATTTTAATCGGTAAGAACACTTTTAGAATTATTATAAAATATTTAAATTTTAAAATTATGAAATTTTAATATATCTTATTTTTAGTAATTTAATAGCTAAAAAATTTGATAATGAAGTACATCTATTAGCAAAATTCAATTCCAACCAAATCTAGTGTTGAAGAAGTTTATGAATGCTTTAAAAATTAGAGTTATATAATAATAAACGTATAATAGGTAAATGATAATTAATATTTTTTTTATTAATTGTAATTTTAATTTTTAATTTTTTTTAAACCATTTTTAGAGGTAGACGACTTAATGTAAGACTTTTAAGATAGCCGAAATTAATGATAAATTTGGTGTTCCATATACCAGAAGAAATAAAGTGAAATTTAACGAAAAGCAAAAGAAAAGGCAAGTAATTATAAAGTAATAATTATAATTAAATTATTTATTCTAAATTACTTTAATAGATACTAATGCTAATAAAAAAAGCCAAAAGGATACATCAGAAGAATCAAAAAGCTATTTATTATAAAAGTACATTAACATAAATTAATTATTAATTAATTAATTAATCTCATTTAATTATTTAAAATAGTACCAATGCAGGATATAACAAATAGAAAACAACCAAAAAGAGGAAAAAGAAAGAATACTACAAGTGAAAATAATTTGAAATCAAAAAAAATTAAAATTGACAAATTCAAAAACAAAAAAACATAAAGCTAGAAATTGAAGAATGCAAAATGAAATTAGCTGAAAGGCGAACAGCAGATCGTAAAGCCCAAGCAGAAATCGAAAAATTAGAGTTAGAAAATCTTAAATTGCGTAAAGAACTTAATATGTAATTTGTGTTAAAGCACAATAAGACTGCGCGTATAATTGTTATTATTATATAAAAGTGAAGCACAATAAGATTGCGCGTTAATTGTTTTATTATTACTACATAAATTATGTAATAAATCAAATAAATCATGTAAAAAACCTGATATAGATAATTTACATAATGCTTATTAATAGTATAATAGTAATTGTGTGTGACAGTGTGAGTTACCATATTTATCAAACAATACATGAAATTGCTACACTTGTTATACAATACAGACACACTGAACCATACATTACATACGTTGAACAGTGTTAATCATACACTACATGTTTGCTATATACCGAAAATCATGTGATCATCAACGTTGATTAGTATGTAGATGAGCTAAAAATAAAAATAGTCAAGGCGACCATGGTCGAAAGAAAAATCCGGATCTTTAATTTTTTTTTTTTTAGATTGTTTGATATATTAGCGTAGTCCTAGTATTTTGAATAGTTTGTCCGAAGGGTGAGGTCCCGTAGGGGATTAATTCCCAAAATTCTATACACGTAT